GAGGGGGCAGGTGCGGGGCGAGGAGGGTCCCCTCTGACCAGGGAGTGACACCAGAGTGGAGCCAGCAGGGGCAGGTCTGAGAGGACTCACAGGGTGGAGCCAAGGGCGCCCGGGCTCCCCGAGGGACAAGGCAGGCAAGGAGGCCTGGGACCCCCTTCTCCCACTGTCTTGGGTGTTTCAAAAACATAAAAATAGTAGCAGTGGTCACCACACAACTGGAACCTTTAGAACCCTGCGGCCTGGGGCGCACAGTCTGTGCCTCGGTTTCCAGGCGAACAGCACTGGGCAGCCCTCCAGACCCTCCCGGTCTGCAGAGCTCTGTCCCCACAGGGAAGCGGCCTCCGAGGTCACGGCCGCAGGACCCTGACCAGCCACCAGAGGGCAGCTGTGGGGACATCCATGGGATGGCTGGGAAGAGCCACAGGGTCACCAGAGGCCACCTGGCGCTGGGATGCGGGTCTGAAGAGAACGGGCAGCCCTGAGGGAGACTGCCCCTGAGCCCTGGCCCAACTCCTGAGTGTCCACCAGCCTCCAGCAGAGTCTGGCTCTTGGCCCATCTCACAGACAGTACGCAGAGGCTCCCACTCAGCCCTTCAGGGTCCCCTAGCGTTTTCACACGTGTGTCTCCTTCAAATTCAGGGTCCCCATTGTACACTCCAGGGGATAGGGCTGCCTGCAGCGGGGGCCCCTGCCTGGACCAGAGACTTTGGGGTCCCATGTGGGAGGCACCGGGTTCTGAAGTCATGACCGGGAACCCCTGTCACCGAGCTGGATAAGGGCTGTCCACACAGCGCAGCGCCCCAGGACCGCAGGCGGCTTTCAGGAGGGGAACCTGCTGATGGAGCCGTGATGCCCCAACTCTTGGGGTCCCTGGCTGCCCACCCCTCAGCAGCCCTGAACAAGACTTGGAGGGCATTCTCGGAATTTACCCGGCGGTGTCTCACACGCTCCAATGCATGCAAGTCCAACAACCAAAGTGTACGTGGGGGACGCCCAGAGCCCCCGGGGCGGCCGGGGCAGGGTGTGGGGTCTGCTCCCCGCCCCGGTAGCCTGTCTGTCCACACACACTGCGGGCCTGGTCTGGTCTGGACGCTGGGGACAGCAGGAGTTGGACAAGGAGAGGCTCCTGCAAGGCAGTAAACCAGTCAGTGAGGAATCTGGGGAAGGTGATGGGAGACACGAGGTATCTGCTGTCCCACCAGACGTCCCTACAAAACAGCAAAGGTAAAGCCCAGAGCTCCATGCCTGCACAGCAGGGCCTCACGCCACGTGGAGCCTTCCCGGGGCCTAGCCCAGGAAGCCAGCCCTGCTGACCGTGAGCCACACAGCCCCATCCTGGTGTCCCCACCCTGGTGGCCCTCGTCAGGCCTGGCCGTCACACTGGAGCCATTTCCTTCCTGCCTTTTCCCGCTGGGCCCAGAACCTGGCTCTGAGCCAGAACATGCATGTGACAGGCTGGGGAACCCAGGGCTCCTCAGCCCCCCCAAAGAATGCAGATGCCACCTCCTGGCAGCTGTGAGTTCCGGACCTGGACCCCTTGAGTCCCTCTGGAAGCCTCACTGAGGGGGCCTGACATCTGGGGGGCTGGGGGGCACTGTCCACCATGGAGGTACCCTCATTAGGCTGGCCATCTGGCCGTTCCCTTAACCTCACTCAGTGTTTTCTTTTGGGGACTTCTGTTCCCCTAGGACAACACAGATGAGGCAGCCATGGCTGACCTCTTGTCCTGTGTCCCGTCGGGAGTCCTGGCCCCCAGGTGGGGGTGGGCATGAGTGCTTGACGCAGACCAGCCCTGAAAGAGGACTCAGAGCTGCGATGCCCAGGGGACACACAGCCCCTCCCCTGGCCTCCTGGGAGTAGGGCTCTGACTCAGTTCCCTCCTGGGCCCTGGCACTCTGCGCTCTGTTTGCGGCCAGCCCTGCCCAGGCGGAGGGCCACAGTGGGCGGCCCCCACAGCTCTTCCTGGACGCCCTCCTCCATCGCAGTCCATCTCGCTCCAGACCCGCCTGAGCTCTGAGGCAAGGACCGTCACGGGGTCCCCACCCTCCCGAGTCTGGCATTTGAAACCCTCATGGCAACACTCTGACTGGGACCTGTTCCCTGCTGAAACACTGTGAATGGGCAGAGGCTGGGCCAGAGTGGGGGCCACGTGTCCCCACAGTGACCCCACCCTGGCTGCTGGGACCCTGGGTGGCAATGGGACAGCCCACCACCAACCAGAGCCTACCAGGGTGTGCCCGTCACCTCAACTTCAGAATTCTGGAAACAATTGGTGAGGCCAGCTCCTTGCTGGGCTGGGTCCCCACACGGACCTTCCCTTGATTTCGAAAGTCCCTGTGGCTCTGCCAGCGGACATTCCGATCCGTGACCGCTTTTGATCCTTCGTAGCTGGGAACATGGGGAGAACAACCCCCACCTCCGTTGCATGAACACCAGGGCCCTCCAGGGCCAGGCTGGAGGTGACCCGTTCCTGGATTGGGGGGAAGGTCCCCAGGGAATGAGGGCGGTGCGCAGGGCACTGAGAGAAAATACCTGGGCGGACCCCCGGACCCTTAGGCTGACCGCTGTCAGGGGCGATGTGGGGGCCCCAGCACCTAGCCCCCTCCTCCCATCTCCTAGCTCAGCACTCCCACCTAATGCCAGCAGCTGGCCTGAGACAGCCCCATGTAGCTGCCTGGGGGACCCTAAGTCCTTGTCCCTAATATAGTCTGTCCAGTCCTGTGTGGCCTGGGCCCGAGGCCCAGGAGGGCAGAGCACACGCACACCCACTGAGACCTGATTTGCGTCTGTGGAAACTCGAGCCAGCTGACATGTGTGGGGCATTAAGCGTCTTGTCCTGCCGTCTGCGCTCCGCGAGGGAGACTGTGAAGGCCCCAGGGACATTTTTTTAAGAGGTGGCTTTTTTTTTGTGCAAGGGAAGCTGGAAAATTCAGAGGAGGGATGGAACTTGAGAAAAACAGCAACAAACCCCCAAGCCTCGTGACCTGAGAGCAGAGCGGCCCTAGGCAGTCTTCAGCGGCACTCAGCACCCCTTCCTGCTCGTGGTGAGTCCTGGGGGACCGAATGGGGCGGAGGGCCTGGCGCTGTTGCCGTCCTACCACTGGGGAGCTGCTCAGCTAGTGGGCACCTGCTGTGTGCCCAGGGAGGCCTCTGAGCTTGGACTGGGGGGAGTGGGCCGGGGAGGGGAGGGCCCTGCAGGCTGGAGTCCTGGAGTTCTCGGGTGATGGAGCGAGGGGCGTTGGTGTCAGGCAGAGGGGTAAGCGGGTGGCTTCTGGGGCGGGGGAGGCAGTTACATCAGGCTGGAGCCACCCTCCTCTCAGGGAGTCTCTTAGGGAGGGCCCCCCGTTGTGCAAATGGGGTCACAGGGAGGTCAGCAGGACCATGCAGCCACTCTGGGAAGAGCAGGGGGGGGGGTGCCACCACAGGAGGGACGTGGAGAAGCCACAGCCTGTGAGCGGCAAAGTCCTCAGGGTCTGGGCTCAGCTGGGAAAGGCGCGGCGCGGCTGCGCCACGTGAAGGCCGTGCCAGGTTCCCAGAGGACGTTCCGGGAGACACAGCCAGGCGGTCGCAGACACTGCCACCGCCTGTGGGTAGAGAGGTCAGCGTCACACGGCAAGGAGCGCCCGCGCGACGGGAGAAGCCCGTGCAGCCGTCTAAAGGAAGCACAGCGTGCCACAGACACGTCCCCTCCCAGCTGCTTCCATGAGGTGTCAGGTGGGTGCCCCAGACAGCGACGTGACAGGTGAGGAAACAGGCGTCGGAAACAGCAGTGGGACGAGACATCGGGCACGTGTTGTCCTCTGGCGATAGGCACCGTCTGTCAGCCCGAGGCCAGCCCTTTGCTCACTCTCCACAAAGGCTGGTGTGGGGGCTGCCAGACCCCAAACACTGAACCCAAGTGACACAGGCTGCCAGTGGGGTAAGGACCAAAGGTCCAGATAAACAATGAGAAGTGAGTCAGGGAGATGGGCTGTCCGGTCAACAGAAGACAAAATGCCTAACTGACATCCTGTCTGTAAAAGAGCTGGTGCCAAGGGCAGGGCAACACCAGAAACCACTCCTGAGAGATGAAATACAGAGCTCCCAAAAGGCAGTGTGAGGTGCAAGTGCTGGGGACCAGGCCGAGGCCACCTCCTGGCGCATAGAATAAAAGCGGAAGGAAACGTCCAGCAGGAGAGAGAAACACCGGCCGAACCCGGGCATCCAGCCTGAGGGGCAGCAGTGCCAGGCAGGACACAGGAGGCACACGGGGACGCGGCCCTGGACAGAGGCACACAGCCCCCTCGGCTGAGCCGGCCGCCTGACAAATTGAGCCTGAAGCTGAGGTTCTTCCCTGAGAAAGTGCAGAACCCGAGGCTGATGCTGTGACACAGATGTCACCAATGAAGTGGGACTCAGGACGACGCTGGCCTCTGCACCAACAAGGTGGACGCACAGACCACCGGGCCCTTCAGCTCCGAGGAGACTGGCCTGCAGCCTAGGAGCGCGTATCCTGCCCCACTGCCCGTCAGCCACAGGGCCGAGGGAGTTGTGCGCAGACACTCGCAGACTCGGAAGTTTAGTCCCCACGTGCCACTGCTGGGGATGTGTGATGGCCTGAACCCGAAGAGGAGGGGGTCTCAGAGCAAAGCACAGAGCTGGGGGGCTGTGGGAGGAAAGAAGTCACCCCAAAAGGCAGGTGAGCATGCCCATGGGGCCCGACACCTCTCTGCAGGCCGTGAGGGGCCGTTGTGAAGCAGGGACCTCAGTGGCTTCTGTTCCACAGACTGAGGCCGAGAGATGGGACCAGCCCACTGGGCACCCGCCTAGCCACCCCACAGGGTGCACATCGGACGAGAAGTGACGTGAGACAGGCGCACAGGGCCGTCCCTGAGCCCTGCTTAGACTGTGTCAGCCCACCATCCCCGGCTGGATTCCTGTCACGTCTGAAGAGAGTGCTCTGCGCCCCCCGCACGATGTGGCCCAGTGGCCTCGAGCCCTCTCAGAGTAGCACCTTGGGACGTGTGGTCATGCCCCCAGCTTAGCTCCCAGAAATGCTGTCCTGTCAGCAACTTGCAAGAACCACCCAGATGACGTGAATGACCTTGTGAGACCACAGCCATGGGGTACCGTGATGAAGCAGGGGACAAAACAACAGAATGCTGGCCCTTCCTTTATTTAAATGTTGTGTATTTTGTTCATCGTGGATTATACCTGCGCAAATTTTTATTTTTTTAAATACAATATGCCTTGAAGTACTCCCTGCCACGATGACTGAGGCTTTGGCAGCCCCACTTGGAATCCAGCGTCTGAGGGCAGGGCCGTGCCCTCCGCATGCGAGTCCAGCCCAGTGCCACCTGATGTTATGCCCTTGGAAGGACTGTGCCAGTGTGGGGGCTGGGGGCCCACGTCTGTCAGGGATAAGGCAGAGCCCTCAGAGTCCCCAGAGCCTTGCGTGTGGGGCCTGGCAGGATAAGGACCCCGGCTCCATGGGAACGCTGGCACTGCAGGATTCTGACCCAAGCCCCAAAGTCCAGCCTGCTCAGTCAGAAGCCTGCTGGGACGTGGGTCCTGGTGAGGCCAAGAACCAGGCTGCAGACCCCCAGCACTGGGAGGGTGCGTGGAGCAGGGTCTGAATGACTTTCGGTTCTTGTTTGCAGACCTCAGGCAGGCCTCGTCCTTCCATCTGGACCCTGGCCCCTCCCCGGGGTCAGCAGCCTCTTAATAGCCCTCAGCCTAGCCCCTCCCCGGGGTCAGCAGCCTCTTACTAGCCCTCAACCTGGCCCCTCCCGGGGTCAGCAGCCTCTTAATAGCCCTCAGCCTGGCCCCTCCCGGGGTCAGCAGCCTCTTAATAGCCCTCAGCCTAGCCCATCCCCGGGGTTGGCAGCCTCTTACTAGCCCTCGGCCTGGCCCAGACAGCAACGCCCAGCCCTGAGCCCAGGACTTCCACCTACCCTCGCTGGGAATGTGCTGACAGCTGATTAACAGGTAGCTCCTGCCAGCAGTCACCTGAGCAAAGGCCCCTGCGTTCCCTGTCCCAGCCCAGCTCACCCGTCAGTGCACAGGCCAGCCAGGCCGGGAGCAGCGGCAGAAACAGGCCCCTGGGGACTGTGTCATGTGGATCAGCTGGTGGCTCTGGCCCCTGGTGGGTATCTGCATGGCAGACCGTTTCCGGGAAGAGGCAGAGAGAATTATGCGGGACACACCTGTCATTGATGGGTAAGCGGCCACTCAAGGGACAGGGCAGGGCCCCGGGCAGGGGTCTGGGGCGGGGGTAGGGGCAAGGCCTTGTGCCTCTAACTGGAGGCAGGCACTGACCTGGACTCAGCCTCTGATTGTAACCCAGGCCTTGCCCTCTGCAGGCCTTCGTTCTTTGTGGGGTCTGTGGGGAATGGAGCAGGAAGGAGGCAGGTGGCGAGGCCCCCAGGGCGCCCCACAACCTGGCCCCACCCCCACCCAGGGGACCAGACCCCTGCTCAGAGTAGGAGCTGGGGCTGGGGGACATTGGGGGCCTGGACGGGGTCACACCTTTCAGCAGCCACAGCATTCCCACGGCTGAAGCTGCAGGTGAGGTGGCATCCCGCACAGGCCCCGAGGCCCCTCTCGGCCCTCCCCCTGGAGACCCTTTCCTCATGCCCACCCTCCTGCGTGCACCTGAGTGTGGCCCGTCAGGGGCGTGGTAAGCTTGGCTTCACTGCACACTTCCAACGCCCCAAATCAAACCCCTGCAGCCCCACTCCTAGCCGAGACCCTGGTGACCCTTTGTCGTTCCCTCTCTGAGGTCACAGACAACCTGGCAGCGCCTGTCCCCTCCACTTCCCAATGCATCTGCATTGGCCCTGCCCCACCCTGCTAGGGCACGTGAGCCGTCAACTCTCTCCGGCTTCCTGGCCAAAGTCTAGTCCCAGCCCTGCAGTCAGAGGGGTCGTGGAGATATACACCCCAGCTGCCATCCTTCCTGCTCAGGGCCCCGCTCCCCTTGGCTCCTGGCCAGCCTGAGTCCTCCCAGGACTCCAGGGCCCTCACTGTCACCCACAGTCCTCAGTGCTCCAGGTGGGCCTCACACTGTCCACTCTCAGCCTTCCAGGACCCCTGCGTGGAGCCTGTGTGCGCCTGCCCGGGAATGGTACTGGCACACACTGTGCTCTCAGGGCTGGGGTGCTAAGGACAGCTCCGCACATGCCGGGCGCACAGTGAGGCTCATATGTGTGCAGTCGTCATTATTTGGCAGATGCTTCTGGGTTTTGTTGGACAAAAAGTTCTGCAAGGAAAGCATAGAAAACAGGGGCCTGGGAGAGAACGGGTAGGGGGACAGGGCATATCCCCACTGCCTCCTCTTTGCCTCTGAGGGCCCTTCAAGGTCTCCGTGCACATGCTCAGGGGGCCAGCAGTGTGAGCCAGGGCAGCCGTTCCTTCATTCTGGGGGCTCGGGCATCTGGGCACAGAGGAGGGGTCCAAGTTCAAGTGTCAGGCCTGTCCAGGGGACCATGCGAGCAGTAAGACGGCTTAAAAAGCCCAGGCACTCGGAAATCCTCAGGGAGCTGGGATTGTCCAAAGGAGAAAGCTAAGACTAGGCTGATGGAACCCAAACCGACAATGGATCAGTTAGTATTAGCTACCCTTCTAGGTAAGAGACCCAACTAAGCGGCTTCAACAAGAGAGACATCCAGAGGGCATCCTGGCATGGTGGTCTCCGTTCCCACAGCCACCTCATGGTGTAAAGTCGCTGCACTGGCTCCGGCCGTCACATCTGCACTCCACCTAGCAGGAATGAGGAAGGGATATAGAAAGGGCAACAGATGAGCAACGGCTATCTGTCAAAGACTGCCTTTGGAAGCTGCCACAGGGTGGACTTGGTCACATGGCCACACCCAGCTGTAAGGGGGGCAGGAAGGGTGTTTGTTTCAAACAGCCAGATGCCCTGCTAGAAAGGAGCGGGGGGTGTTACCAAGGAAAAGGAGAGGAACGGATGACGGGCAAGCCGCAGTCTCTCCCACACCAGCTGCCGTGTTTGTGCTCAGCACATGCCAGGCCTCGGACACTCGCCTGTCCCCTTGAGTAGGCTGTCACCACTGCTGAGGACACTCAGATAAGGAGGGTAGACCCGACAGACTCCAGGACAGCAGCGCTGACCCGAGGGCTGAGGCGCCTCTGTCCCCCACTTAGGGTTCCAGCGAAGGGAGAAGGAACAAAAGATGCCTCCCTCCTGGTGGGGCCTTGGGTGGCAGCTGGAGCGGGGAGCTGGATTTCCTAGACAGGCTGGGGGTCCTCGGGTGAAGGCGTCAGGTCCCCTCCAGAGGCCCTGCCCAGTCCTGCCCCGGGGACAGTGCCCACCCCTGGAGCGAGGCAGTGCCCTTCCCCCCTTGGCGCTCACTCACTGTCCACCACGTAGGCAGCAAAGGCGTCCTAACCCCCAGCCCAGTCCTGTCACATCAGTCACATCTCACAATTCACAGAACACTGCCCCTCCCGAGAGAGCAGGGACGGCTTCCAGTGTCTGAGGTGCAGGTCAGAGAGACAGGGGTGGCATGGGTGGGGGGGTTGGGAGGACACAAGGCATTCCCAGGACAAAGCCCCCTCCAGGCCCAGGCCATCCATAGCCCCTTTGTCATCAGATTAGGGACGGACCCCAGAGGGAGCCTACCGAGATGGCCCGTGTGCGCGCGTGCATGTGTGCATGTTTGTGTGCGCGTGTGTGCGCATTGACTGGTTAAAGCTCAGGTTCCAACTGGTGGGTCTGTCTGGGCCTGAGGCCCTGCATTTCTAATCAGCCCAGGTGCCCGTGCTGCTTCCACACACACAGGAAGTGGAGAGCGGACAGAGGCCAGGCAGGGGCCTGGAGGCCCAGGTCCACATGGCCATCCTGACCTGCTCTGACCCTCCTCCCGCCCCCCCCCCTCCCCAGGCACAACGACCTGCCCTGGCAGCTGCTGAAGAAGTTCAACAATCAGCTTCGGGACCAGAGGGCCAACCTGACCAGTCTGGCTGACACGCACACCAATATCCCCAAGCTGAAGGCTGGGTTTGTGGGGGGTCAGGTACAGTCCGCCGGCCCTGCCCTCAGCTATGTCAGGGTCCATCCTTCTCGTCCATTGGGTCCTGGCTAAGGTGCAGCCCCTCCCCGGTGGTGGCATACCCCATCCCCTTGGGGCCACAGGTCCTTGGAGAGGACTCCGAAAGCCACCTAAGCTGTGGGGACGGCTTCCAAGATGGGAGGGCATGCTTGGAGGCTGGGGCCTGGGGCCAGGTCCTAGCACCTATCTCCACGGCCCCAGTTCTGGTCTGCGTACACACCCTGCGAAACCCAGAACAAAGACGCCGTGAGGAGGACGCTGGAGCAGATCGACGTCATCCATCGCATGTGCCAGATGTACCCTGAGACCTTCGTGTGTGTCACCAGCAGCCAAGGTGGGCCCCGCACCACCCTGGCCCTGTTCTGAGCAGATGGTGCGGCTGCGGCTCAGCTGTTTCTTAGGGCTAAGCGCCCCCTGGCGCCCAGGTGCTCACCGGCCTGGCTGGGCTGTGCACACAGGCATCCGACAGGCCTTCCAGGAGGGGAAGGTGGCCAGTCTGGTGGGCGTGGAGGGCGGCCACTCCATCGACAGCAGCCTGGGCGTCCTCCGGGCACTCTACCACCTGGGCATGCGGTACCTGACCCTCACGCACAGCTGCAACACGCCCTGGTGAGTGAGCCCACGGAGGCCCAGGCAGCTCCGGCACCCTCCTCTCCTTGTGCGTCCCCAGTGGGGGGACGGCCACTCTGCCCCCCACTGCCCGCTCTCCTCTCTCCCAGGGCCGACAACTGGCTTGTGGACAGCGGGGATGATGAGGCCCACAGCCAAGGCCTGTCGTCCTTTGGGCAGGTGAGTGTGGGGGGAGAGGGGCCAGGACCACTGTCACCCTCAGAGGAGACGTGACCAGGACACAGTGTCTCAACTCCCAGGACCTCAATTTCCTTGCCTGCAAAATGGAGCTGGCAGGGGTGGTCCCAGGGTGGGCGTTCAGCTGGAACCCGCTGGTCATTAGCATGGTCCCAACCTTCTAGCCACTGCCCAGCAAGAGGCCCCTGCCCAAGTGCCTTCCCCCCTTGCCTAGACCTCTGGGGGGGATGCTGCAGTGTACCCCAGAAGGCCTGAGGACACAAGTGTGCACAGTGCAGCCTGCCCGGCCCAGGGTGCTGGCGTCGCCCTCTGTGCCCCAGGGCTGGGCCCTCCTGGCCCCCTGAGCGCCTTCTCCCCTCAGAGTGTGGTGAGGGAGATGAACCGGCTGGGCATCCTCATCGACTTGGCCCACGTGTCTGTGGCGACCATGAAGGCCACCCTGAAGCTGTCCAAGGCCCCCGTCATCTTCAGTCACTCCTCAGCATACACGCTGTGCGCGCACCGGCGCAACGTGCCTGACGACGTGCTGCAGCTGGTGGTGAGTGCGTCTGCCCTGCCCGGGGTGGTCCCCCCGGCGGTCCTGGGGTACCTCGCCTCCCCCAGGCCCACAGCTCCACCTTCCTCCCCCTGAGCAGAACGAGACCGGCAGCCTAGTGATGGTCAACTTCTACAATGACTACGTTTCCTGCAAAACGGAGGCCACCCTGTCCCAAGTAGCGGGTAGGTGCCGTGAGCAGCGAGCAAGCGAGCGGCTGAGCGGGGCAGGGCCTCTCCCAGAACCCACACCTGCTGCCTCGCCCTCCAGACCACCTGGACCACATCAAGAAGGTGGCGGGAGCTGGAGCGGTGGGCTTCGGTGGGGACTTCGATGGTGTTTCAAGGTAAGGGCCCACCGAGACTGTCCTGGGCCTGAGCTGGGAGGGCCGTGACCCCCACGAACATGTCGTGAGGGGCTGGAGGAGGGTAATGCGTCCTGAGGACCTTCCCAGCAAGTGTCGCTCTGAAGGCCACGCTACTGGACCCCCAGTGCAGCAGGTGGGGGCGGGGGGGAGGCGTGGGCAGGTCCGTGGCTTCTGGGGTGGTGGACGGCCCCTGGGCCCCCAACCCCGGCAGAGCCCAGTTCTCTGAGCCCTCTCCTCAGGCTCCCCTCGGGGCTTGAGGATGTGTCCAAGTACCCAGACCTGGTCGCTGAGCTGCTCAGGAGGCAGTGGACGGAGGAGGAGGTCAGAGGCGCCCTGGCTGTCAACCTCCTGAGGGTCTTTGAGGCCGTGGAGAAGGTGAGCGCTCTGCTGGGCTCGCTGCCGCCACCCCCACTGCCACCACTCCCTCACCCCGTGGCGGGCAGGCAGGCAGCCCCACCTGTGTGCGTCCCCAGGTGAGCGATCACACACAAAGTGCTGAGGAGGAGCCCATCCCGCTGGCGGAGCTGGAGACTTCCTGCAGGACAACATACGGCTACTCAGAGGCCCCCAGCCTCCACCAGCAGCCAGGGGCCCTGCTGACCGCCCTCACCCCCCTCCTCCTCAGCCTGAGTCTCCTGTGACACACTGGGGACCAAAATCCCGCACTCCTGAAGCTTGGGGCAGACTGTGCCATCAGAGCAGCCAAGACTCCACAAGCACTGTCCGCCATGTACAAGGTCTGGCCCATCCTGAGCAGACCTGGGCATTATGCTGTGGGCACTCGGGGCACAGGCCCAGTGACCCTCAATAAAGGCAATGATCCCTTTGCGTCCTGAGGATGTGTCATCAGCACCCTGGCCCTCAACGGGGCTCCTGTGCATCCCAGCGCAAATGGTGTGAAATGGCCCTGGCTGGACATCCGGACACAGGAGGCCTGAGTCTCGGCAGGGAAGGGCCAGAGAGGGCTGGGATCTGAAACAGGGCTTTGCATGGACATTGCTGGAGGGCCTTCAAAATCACGTGGTCCAGGCTCCAGTGCCACCTCGTGTACACATGTGCGCGCGCGCACGCACATGCACACACCTACACAGCCACATCCTGTGATGCACCCGCACACGCCCACACCCACCCAGGTCTGGGGCGGGGAGGCTCTTGGGGCCCACCCCTGCAGGGTCTCCTCCGTGAGCACACTGGGGGGCAGGGCACAGATGGCTTCGTGGAGCAGGCAGGCACAGCACCCCCTCTGGACATACAGGGATGTGTCTTGAGACGAAAGGCCTAGTGGGTGACAGACCTAGGGCGGGACCTGGCACATCGCTGCCGCCCCCTTTCCAGGCCCCCCTGAGAACGCCGCTCATGGACAGGTGTCAGCACTGGGGGTGGGTCGGCCTGACAGGGCAGGAATTCCTCTGCCCCTGACTCTGTGCGGTGTGCATCACCCTGGGCCGCCTGTCTCGTGGGAGGCAGGTGACCTGCTACAGGTGCTGCGGGTCCCCCAGGCCCTGGGAGCCAGCTAGGGGCCTTTGTGGGCTGGGGGCCCTGCCTGAGCTGGGGCAGTCTGTGATCCTGCCTCTCGTCCCCAGCCAGCACCTTGTCCAGGCAGATCTGAAGTGACCAGAAGGGGCATATGAGGGCATCTGCTGACCAGTTAGGCTTCAAGACTAGTCCTGAGTGTTAACCACATTAGAAACACCCAGAGCGTGCCCCCCAAAATACCCCTGGCTCCCAGAGTTCCACTGTCCCACCTCAACTCATTAGTTCTTTTATCCCCTCACCCACCTCGAGGCAGAAACACACAGGCCTTTCCGGAGGATGGTCTGGGGGTCCTGGTAACCCGGCAGAGCCCACTGTAGCGTGGAGCCCCATCTCGGGGTGCAGGCACATTCCCCAGGCGGACATGACACCCTCCTGGCCCGTCTCCCCTGTTAGGACCCACATCAGCACCTTCCAAGGCCAGCACACAAGCAGCCTGAGGGCTCAGGTGTGGGGAGCAGTGGAGGGCACAGCCGGAGCTGTGGCTAGTCACCAGGCAGTTACAAGTGACGGGGAGCCAGGCTGAGACCGGCCCTCAGTGCACGCTGGTGGTTTCCAGGGTTCACGGAGGGTGTGGACACGGCTTGCGGTACGTGCGAAAACAGCTCACACCCTCAGGTCCACGTCGATGTAAATAACGGAATGAGAAGTAGGGGGCAGAGCAGAACTGCAGATACAAAACCACCACCGTTGTTCCCAGAAGACGCGATGGCACGAGTCAAGGGCGTCACATGACATCTGCATGTTTGCAATCTTCAAATTTCTCCCCACAAGACACTCAATAGAGAGAGATGTAACTTTTGGGGGCGCAGTCTGGACACTACCTGTCCCAGGTAAGTGACAAGGTGGTGACGTGCTGAGACACTGAGGACACTATGCCACTTCTGTGGGATTTCCGCCAACGGCTGGGACCTCAATGTTGTCACATGAAAACGTCACACCAATCCTAGTGGAGGGGCAGCCTGCAGAGGAACTGGCCAGCGCACTCCGAGAGCACCCAGGTCATGAAGACCAAAGAAACAGGAGGGACATCCCAGATGGGGGTGCAGGTGTGACAAGTTCATAATATTGGGTGGTTTCCTCATAGCCGGGGATGGATGGTGGAGCAGGAAGTGGTCCACACGAGTACAAACTATGGACTGCACAACTTTTATGAAGTTTAAAATTATTTCAAGGTAAAAACTTAAAAAGAAAATTAAAATTCCGGGTTCTGACTCCATTTGTCTGGGTGGGGCCTTGCACCACCCCGCCTGTCCTCCTCCAGGGTCCCCCAGGCTCCTGAGTGGGGAGCTGGATGGTCAGAGGGTCCCACCTGTGACTCCCCCAACCCCAAGGCCACCAAAGCAAACCTGGAGAAATTTCTCAGGGATCAATCTGTTTACTTACAACAGCATTTTAGGAAAAGGGCAAACACACCCAGTGCCTTTGATGAACAGCAGCCTGGCCCCCACACCGGGGACCAGGACACCAACCCCCAGCACGTGGGCGTCCCGAGGGTCCAGGCCAGGGAGTAAGGCCAGACAGCGCCCCAGCCCCACTCCCGCCTAGGCTGCCGCCCCCCACAATTATTGCACAGAACACCCACGGGCTCCCAAGCCCAGGAAGAACCAAACACAAAAGTCCAGGTAAGGTGTCCAGCGCTCTGTTCCAAGTGCCGTCGGTGTAAGGACAGACGGAACAGCCAGTGCCGGGGAAGGGCCGGTCCAGGCAGTCAGCAGTCCAGAGCTGGCCCTGGTCAGCACAACCACGCAGCTCCCACCAGCTCATGCCAGGAGGGGGCTCAGACCCAACACTCCCCACCTGCTGCCTGTTCCTATTTTGGCAAAATAAAACTTTTAACCCCAAACCCTCAAAACAAAAACAGCTTCAAGAAAACAAAGTAAATGTCAGGAATTGGAAAACAGAAAGTACAGCCTGTGCCTCAGCCATCCCAGGTCTTCAGGACATACTGCTGCTCTCTCCTGGATGCATGGCCGCTGCTGGCCACATCGCGGGCAGCTCTCCTGAGCTCCCGTCAGCCAATCAGGCTTCCAAGGTCACGCAAGGCAGGAGAGGCCAGCCGGGGGAGGCACCCCATAATTACCGTGCCAGGAGACAGTGACACAGGGAACCCCCGAGGACCGTGAGGCTGCCTGCTCTGCGGCTGGGATGGGGCCTTAGCACAGACTGAGTTCCAAGAGTCACACAGCACACACCCAGGGACCCTCCAGAGGTGACAGTGGAGAGAGGACAAGGACCCCCAGGGTGGGCACCCCCACGGGCTGAGCCAGCTGGCAGGAGTGCAGGTCTAGGTTGGAGGGACCACGACCCCACCCCCGAGACGTTCCACAAAGCCCACAGGGGTAGTATTTGCTGGGTGGTCCTGGAGGATGTCCTCCATATCTCCTGGGGCGCTGCCTGAGGCTGCTTCTGTCCACAGGGTGTGGAGACCCTTGCCCAGTGCTGGAGGGTTCCCAGGTGTTGTCTGGCACCAGAGGCCCCATCCCCTCCAGCTGACTGCCAGCAGCACATCTGCCAGCACACGATGTCATCACACTGGCCAGTTCCTGTCAACTCCTCAGAGGGTGAGGGACAGAAGGGAGCTGCAGGTCCTCCAGCTGGTTGGCCCAGTTACAGAAATTACTCGCAAAAGTCAGAAGTCTGTGCAAACTCACCCACCAAAACAAGAGCCCCACCACCCAGCCGAAGAGAAGAGGACGGTTCCCAGGCTGGCAGGTGAGGATGACGGCTGCCGCTGCAGAGTCAGCAGAAAGGCAAGACGCAGCGGGGTCGGGCCTTCCCTCACAGCGCTCCGCGCACACTGTGGTAGCCACTAGTTCCTCAGGGCGGCCAGCCTGCAAACCACCACGCACTCTGAGACAGCCCGAGGGCTGCGCCAAGAGTCCCCTCTGCCACCTGCAGGCCAGTCCTCTCTGCTGGCTTTCAGCTTCCCGGGTGATTCTGAGATGACACCCGTGAGAGGCTGGGGCTGGCCGTAAACTGTTCGTTCTTGTTCGTCACGGTGGGAAGAGCATGCTTCCCTTTCTAAAGCGAGCTGCAGGTGGACGAGGGGCCGGGACCAGTGGTGACAGGGTGACAGAGCCGCCCTCTGTCAGCCCCTGGAGTGTGAGTTGGGGGTTCTGAGTCGGGAGTGTCCTCAGAAGGACACAGCCCCTGGGTGTAAGGACCATGTTACCCACACCCCCAGCCACCTCCCCCTCCCACGTCAGGGCAAGGTGCCCACCTGCGGGACAGCTGGTCCTCCTGGCTGTGCACGGAGCTCTCGCCCAGGGCGGAGGCGCCCTCGGGCAGCTGGCTCAGCTGGTCCAGGACCTCCAGGCCATTCTCCTCCGCGATCTGCATGATGAGACTGTCTACCTGCTCCTGCGGCGTGCTCAGCGTAGTGGCCGAGCTCATGGAGTCCTCCATCACCTGGGGGCGGTTGTGAGCAGTTGGGCCCAGCTCACAGGGCCAGCGAACCCTGCTGCGGCCACCCGTCTGGACCCCCTTTCGAGGGCACTCCTTCTGCACACACTAGCGGCCCTCAAGTACTTGCCAAGCTTCGGGGTGCCGAGCGTTCCCAGCCCCACACAGAGATACCGCCACCTCAGCCCCAGGCCCTCATCCATTAAAGCTGTGTCTGGCCTGGACCCCAGCAAGGACTCAGGGGCCCAGCTCAGAGGACACCTGGTGACGCCGGGGGGACACATGCGGGCCCACACACGGCCACCTACCGACGTGTGCACATCCAGGCTCTGCGTCTGCTGCTCAAACCTGTCCACCACCGCAGACACCTTCTGCAGGTCCATGCTGCCCAGCGCCCTGTCCAGTGCCTTGGTCACCTGCGCCATGTTCTTGGTGACCTGACACGGGAGGGAGCGGGAAGGCAACAGGATTGAGGAAGGAACGGCCCCATTGGGGACAAACTCCGAGCTTTCCCTGAGAACAGGGCTGGGACCGTCCCACCGTAGGTACAGAGCGCCCAGCCAACAAGGCCCAGCCCCGGCCCGGCCGGGCTGCACTCAGGCCCCCTCCTGGCAGGCCCCTGGGAGATGCCGTCAGCTGAAGGACGGGTCGGAGCCACCGTGGGTCTTGGGCCCGCATTTGCTGTGTGGAGCGAGTCCCACCACAGCCCCGAGGGGTGTGGTGTGACCCCCCGCCCCAGCCCCGCCTCACCGCAGCAGCCTGGCCGAGACTCACCCCCTTCATGGTCATGGCCGTCTGCACCTTGGAGGCCACCGCATCCACACGGGACGCCATGCGCAACCAGCTCACGCCTTCGTTTTTCTTGCGGATGGCGTTCTCAGCGTACACGCGGGCACACTCCACATTCTTCTGCTGAAGGGCCTGGAATTCCGGGAGAGGCCAGCTGGGAGGGCGCTGCCCTGCTCAGAGGCCGGGGCCAGCCCCTCCTGGGCATCTGCCTGTATGCCCCCTTCACAACCCTCTGCAGGTACTGTCATCAGAAGCGACCATGTGTTTCATGAAAACGCAGATGGGACCCAGGGTGTGCGGGGCAGGGCCCACAGGCCAGCCCACAGCATGGCTTAGGCAGAGCCCTGGAAAACACGGCCACCATCCTGGCCTCTCACACCACCACCCACACCCCGGAGGGGACGCTGCCGACTGCATAGGGACCACAGCTGCGGCTGAAGATGGGACTCAGCCCCACGCTGGGCTGTCCAGCTGCCCTTCTGCCCCGGGAGCCATAGTTCGTGAGAGGTCACCAAATCCAACACCCCCACCCAGCAGCTGTACCAGACAGCGCCCCCGAGAGCAGCAGGCCCCTCCCTGGAAAGGCCTAGGCACGGGGACCGGGGAGCCTCCAGCTTCACAGGGAAGACAGAGCTGAGGGTGCCGCGTCAGGTTAGTGAGGAGGGCGGGGTCAGAACACTGGGAACCAAGCGTGGCCAATCAGAGGCGAGCACAGGCGGTACATGGTCCCGATCAGCGGCCTGGGGGCGGGGCCTGGGGGCCAGCGCGACCCTCCAGGATGGGTCCACGCCGAAGCAGCCGTCTCACCTTCTTCACCTTGGCCTGCTCTGCCTTTGAGTCCTTCTCAGCTTTCTTGGCCAGTTTCTCCAGCTGCTTCGCTGTGAACTGAGCAGAGGCGGGAGGCTGGGTCAGACATGCACCCGGCCAAAGTGCACATCCCGCCACGTCTCTCCGATACACAGAGCTGCCGGGCAGCTCCCACCGCCTGTCCACAAAGTCCACTCCTTGGCAGATGCCCTGGGGCCCGCCAGCCAGGGGACGCAGTAGCAGCGACCCTCTGGCATGACCTCGCACACCGCAGCCGTCTCCTGCCTCAACAATGTCCACATAGCACCTCCCTCTTGGAGAGCCCCACCCCAGCACTGGTCACAGTGGCCTCCACAGCCCCCCAGAACAGGCCTCACTTGACGGGGAAGCCAGCAGGGGAGCATGCTCCGGTGACCCAAGTCAATAAGCGAGCTCCCCTAGGCCCAGACTCCTGACTCCGGCCCTGCTGGCAGTGTCGCCTCAGCCTGCAACACCCACCGCACCCCCTTCCGACAGCCCCCTAGATCCCCACACACTGGGCACTGGTACTTTCTGTCATAGAGAAAGGCCTTCTTGTCTACCTCACACTCCTGTGTTCCTTAAGGGAAAAAGCCACATTTTCGTGTCCTAGGAATCCAGTCCTGACCACCTAGGATGGCAGGACCCCCATCACGTGCTTGCGAACAAAGTGCTCATGGCCTCCGACGCTCCCTGCCCTTCCTCTCCAGGCAAAGCCAGGCTGATGAGCACATCGGTGGCTTGGCCCAGCACTCCTGCCCAGGCCCACAGAACCACCAGCTAACCCGAGGGCACGCGTGGGGTTCATTAGGAAGCACAGAGCCACCCGACAGGAGGGGCACTCAGGTGCCACAACACCCCCTTCAGCGATTTCAAAGGACTCGAGGCGACAGTTTTAAATGCCTAATGGAACATCAGGGGGCACCGAACACCTCAGTTGTCTTCCTTAAAGAGAACACAGCCGCTCTGTCATGGATGAGCCCAAATGACCTGGTTCTGCTCAGCCTGAGACGAGAAAGAATTAGCACGCCATCTAGCCAACTCAGTAATCCCCTCTGTCATCATTCTGACTGAGCACTGTGCAGAGGTCACCCAATTTATAATCTGTCCCTCTGAGTGTGACTTACACCATTGTCCCCATTCGCTGACCACAAAGACAAGGTTGGGGTGAAGGGTCATTCAGTACATACCTTCAACTGGAACAGGGTATCTGCAAAGAGAGAAGGTGGTTTGAGGGTTTCAAGAAATGTGACAAGCGCACTTCTAACAGGCAGATGGGGTCACGAAGACCCTTCTAGAAATGCACAGCTGCTACAGAATACAGGCAGACAGCACTGACCAAGGCCTTCGGGAAGACACACAGGCACACAGGGCCCGGGCAACCGCAGGGCCTCCCGAACCTGCGATCCCTCACAGGTGACACCAGGATGGCACTAGGTGACCAGGCAAATGAGGTCATGGATGTGGCATGTGGCCCACAGTGAAAAGTCAAGATGGTGGTTTGTAATTAATGCAACTTTACAAAGGACCCTTGGGGTTCTCTCCCAACCTCACGGGGCTCAGTGCTTGCCAGTCTACTTTTTATATGCTTTTCCCCAAAAACAAACGGATAAAAATAGCAGGGAGATGATGACTCTCATGCCGTCAGAGACCACCGTCCACGCAGCTGACATTTCTGAGCCATCGAGTCCGGCTGCGGTGCCTCCAGGGACACGCTGAGGAGCTGGAGACCTGAGACGTCTGCACCCGCTACTCAGTCACCAAAGCTCAAGAGTCCCCTTAAACCTACGTCAACTCATTCCATTTCTAAATCTGGGAGCCTCCTGGCGGGGTGCACCACCGGGGTCAGAGGAGGGGATGCGCATGCTCCCAGGTGCAGACCCCCGCGCCCAGCTTTTTACATGTCACTAAGCGATTTTCAAGGCCTCTGCATCACAGCAGCCGTTAGACACCGCAGCACCTGTGGGCGGCTTCCCTCCATCACCGACTCTACGTGCTCTTTGGTGCCCTGAGCACGGCGCGGGCCGGCGGGCAGGGCTGGCGCGCCTGCACCGGCTCCCCGCCACCGGCTCCCCGCCCGCCCCACCCGCACCACGAGGGCGTCGGCTCCCGCCTCCGAGAGCTGCTGTGCGGCGGGCCTGGCGCCGAGCAGCGCCTGCCCGGGGTTCTGGGGCGGCGGGGCGACCGTTTCCTTTTCCGGTGCCCTGTGCGCTGACACCCCAAATGCCGACGTCTCTCGCGGGCACCGGAGACTGGGCGAGTGCGGGGGGTGGAGGGTGTCGGACGCTCAGAAGGGCCGGGAAGGGCCGGGGAGCCGGGGGTCGGGGGCCGGGGTCGCGGCCGGGGCGCCCGCCTGAGCCCCGCCCGCGCCCCGCCCGCGCCCCGCACAACGGCGGCCTCTTACCGTCCATGGCCGGTCCGGAAGCGGCGGCGCTCGTACAGGCGGACGGACGGGATCTTCAGGCGACGTCGATCGCCCCGACTAGCTCTGCCGGGCGGCAACTTCCGGGTGCCCCCACTTCCGGCGGCGGGTCCTCTCGCGAGAGGACGGCGACCGGGCCCGCGAGCGGCGGCGTTGCCGTGGCGACAGCGCGCGACGCGGGCCTCTGTGAGGCGGTCGGGCTGCGCCGGCCCGCCCATGGGCCTCAGCGGGAGCAGACACAAGCCCGGGGAAGGTAAAGGGCCGGGGTGCTGGGCGTCGCGCCCCTGCCCGCCCCTCTGAGGACCGTGCCTCGGGGAGCCGCATCCGTGGAATACCCACGGGTAGGGAAACGGGGTGACCCAGGCCTTTCAAGCTGTCTTATTTCATGCTGGACCAAAGCAGGAAAGTAAAGAAGGACGTCCTAGATCTGGTCAGATCTGGTCTAATTAATTATTCATATATTCCAGGTGAGGAGCAAAAGACGGGGTGCACCCGTTCGGTTCCAAAGCCTAAGGGGAGGTCGATGGACAGGCACCCCCAAGAGTCTGAGAGGCCTCCAGACGCTGAGCCTGCAGACGGCTCCTCTCCTCAGCAAGGGGCAGCCGAGCAGCGGCGGCTTTCCTGCGAAGGGCAAGGTAGGGCCGCAGCCTCAGGAGTGGGGATGGGGAAGCAGGCGTCGCCGCGAGGGCACAGGGCGCATGCCCGCATAGCCGAAGGGCTTTAGGATCTTTATGTAGGAGGTAGAGACCAGAATTCCGGGTGGAAAATGTACAGCGAGTTCAGCAAAGGTCCAGGTGAGGCGCGTAATGATAGGTGCACACCGCGGAGTCGAAGGGCCTAGTGGTGCCAGACACAGGGCACACGCGCGTCTGTCCCAGACAGTGGACGACGCCTTTGACACCACTGTTGTCCCTTCCACATCCTGAGACTGGCACAGAAGCTTGGAAGAAAGGCTGCTCCAGTCTGGAGAACAATCATGCGTGAGAAGGGACAGGGGAGCTCTCTGCCAGGGCACAGGGATCAAGGAGGGAACAGAACGACCGGGGGACAAAGGGGGACAGTTTGACAAATGTATTCACTTCCTAACAGCCCAGTGTGGCCAGAACTGTCCCTGGGTCAGGGGGATGAGGCCACAGAAGCAGCCAGAATATGAAGTCTTTTATCAGTTCAACCATGTGGATTGTGGAAATGAAACTTAATTAAAACAAGGGAGAGGTGATGGGGTTTGTCCCTTGGAAAAATCTTTCTGTCTCCACCATAGAGGACATTTGGGCCAGGAGACCTGTCTTAGGCCCGTTGCTGTTCAGTAGGAACTAAAAAGGATCCAGGAGCTAGAAGCCGTGGGACCTGCCAATGAGACGTGGGGAGACAGGAGAGCCAAGAGGGTGCATTTTGGGGACCATGAGACTGAGTAGTTGGTGGGTGGGGCAGGGGAGGCAAAAGGAATAGTGGCCTGGCGGGAAGAGAGGAGCTGGGCACGGGCGGGCCCAGAGCGAGGCGTCCGGACAGTCCCTAAGGGCAGGAAGCAGTTTGCAGTGAGGCGTGGGGCTTGGGAGCGAATCCTGGACTTCAGACCCACTTTAGAGCCCTCGCGTGCGGTGGAAGGCCACAGGAAGGACCAGAGTCCTGGGGAGGAGCCTTGGAGAATGGTACCTGTCTGTCAGGAGGCTTTTGGGTGCAAGTCACAGAAAAGCCAACCAGAAGTGGCTTTACTGTCAAGGGTTCGATGTTGGCCAAATAAAGGGTGTGCGTGCGCCTACACTTCACCACCTCCAGGTGTCACTGCAGCCAGGACTGTGCCTAGTCCCTGCGAGGCGCTTCTTGCTCTGTATCAGCAAGGAGAGCCTTTCCCCAGTGGACTTGCCTGCCCAGCCTCTCCAGGATGCATCAACTGCCAGTTCTAAGGCTGGGCCTCTCCCAGCAAGGGGAGGTGTGGGCGGGGGACGGCGTGCTGCAAAGGTACCCACAGTGTCTGTCGCACCCTCATTTCAGAGGGGTGGAGAGAAGACGGGTATAGAGGGCAGAGAGCAAGAGTGAAGATGGAGTTTCTAGAAAGAAGGTGAAGGGCCGGCCGAGTGGCGCATTGGTTAAGAGCTGGCTTGGGACGCCAGCCCTGAGCAGCAGGGCCCCGGTTTGGATCCCACATGAGGGCCAGTGACGCTGTGCCCTCTACAGCTAAGATGGTGAACAACAGCTCGACCTGGAGCTGGGCTGCCGTGAGTCATCGGTGACGGCGTAGGCTGCAGTGAAACTGCAGTGGGCTGCCATGAGCTACCGTGAGTGGCCGGCAGCTGGCATGAGCAGCCAAGAGCTGCTGTGAGCAGCCGACCTCCGACTGATCTGCCTCACCCGGGAAGAGCACAATGATAATACCAACATCGGCCAGTGAAGCGACGTCCTCCACAACTAGACTGAAGAACAAAAGGACAGCAACTTGTCTGGTCCCCTTCCCCGATTCCCCAACGCTGTTCCCCTCCCCCAATTCCCCAGTAAAATCTTAAAAAGAAAAGAGAAAGAAAGAAAGAAAGAAAGGTGAAGAGTGGTTTCTCCATATAATGGAGCATCTTAGACATAAACAGTGACAAGCTACTGACACATGCGGCACCGTGAAGGAACCTCCAAAGCGTGATACTGAGTGAAAAGAAGCCATGTGTAAAGACCACATAGATGATATTCCATTTATAGAAAGTGTCCAGAAAAGGCAAATTTATATAGCGAGAAGCCTGGGCTAAGGGTGGGAATGGGGACTGGCCACAAGTGGGCACAAGAGGCCTTTGAGGATGATGAGTAGTTGCTAAAACTGGCTCGATGGTCGCCCACCCCTGAAAGTTCATTAAAAATCATGGAACCATATGCTTTAAACAGGTGAATTTCATGGTATGTAAATTATACCGCAATAAAGCTATTTAAAAAGAAAGGGGTAGGGGCCGGCCGAGTGGCGCATTGGGTAAGAACTGGCTTGGGATGCCAGAGGACCCCGGTTCGGATCCCACATAGGAGGGCCAGTGACACTGCCCTCTACAGCTAAGATGCTGAACAACAGCTCAACCTGGAGCTGGGCTGCTGTGAGTCACTAGCGATGGCATAGGCTGCAGCCCCTGTTGCAGTGGGTTGCCATGGGCTACCGTATGTAGCCAGCAGCCAGCGTGAGCGGCCAGCAGCCGCAGTGAGCGGCCGTCCAGAAGCCGGCGACTGATCTGCCTCGCCCGGGAAGAGCGCAATGATGGTGCCAACTTGGGCCAGTGAAGCAATGTCCTCCACAACTAGACTGAAGAACAAAAGGGACAGCAACTTGTCTGTTCCCCTTCCCCCAATTCCCCAGCACTGTTCCCATCCCCCAATTCCCCAATAAAAATCTTAAAAAAAAAAAAAGAAAGAAAGGGGCAGGGGGTGTCCCGGTGGCTCAGTCAGAGCATGCACTCTGAGCAACAGGGTTGCTGGTTCGATTCCCACATGGGCCAATGAGCTGCGCCCTCCACAACTAGATTGACGACAACGACTTGAGCTGAGCTGCCAGTGGGCGGCTCCAGTTCCATTCCCACATGGGATGGTGGGTTGTGCCCCCCACAGCTAGATTGAAAACAGCAACTGGACTTGGAGCGGAGCTGCATCCTCCACAACTAGATTGAAGGACAACTTGACTTGGAGCTGATGGGTCCTGGAAATAAACACATTGTTCTCCAATAAAGTTAAAAAAAAGTATTATTTAAAAAAAAGAAAGAGGGGGGACTCCTTGAGAGTGTTAAATGTTGCACAGGGTGGGTGACCCGGAAAAGGCTCCACAGGATCAGTGAGGAGCTGGTCTCAGGGACAACAACTTGGCTGTTCCCCTTCCCCAATTCTCCAATAAAATCTTTTTAAAAAAAACCCCAAAACAGTTGACTTGGAGCTGATGGGTCCTGGAAGAAACACTGTTCCCCAATAAAGTTAAAAAAAAATACACGGATTCTTGTCTCTTAGAGCTGCACCTAGATTATTTCAGTGTAAATGGGATGAGTGGAGACAGTGCCTGAGGTTTGCGGCAAAGTCAAGGCATCTGTGTGTGGCTGATGGTACTTCCCAAAGACAGCACAACTCCTCCCTTCCTATGTGTCCTACAGTGTGTCCCTGACACTCCTTCCACCCGGGGGCTGGTCTGTGTTCCCTCCTTAATCTCTGCAGGATTGACATTCTCTTGTAACCAATAGAATGTGGCGGAAGTGACTTCTGAGGCTGGCCCATGACAGGCAATGCAGTCCCGCCTTGCTCACTGGAGCCCTGTTCTGTCCCTTGGTGGAGGTGTCCCGGTCTCCTTCCAGCCCAGGGGCCAGCCTTGTGAGTGGGCAAGCCTTCAGATGGTCCAGCCCCAGCTGGGCCTCCACACACCACACAGAAGCAGCATTGGTTACCAGCTCTGTGAGTGGCCGTCATGCGTGTCCTGCACGTCCAGCCCAGTTGAGCCTTCAGATGATGAGCTCCAGAGATTGGACTGCATCACCTGGGAACCCACAGGTGACAACTACCCAGTCGAACCTGTCCTGACTCCTGACCCATGAAGCTCTGCGGAAATAAAATGGCGGCTGCAGGCTGCTGAGGTGACGTTCGACCGTGAGTTTATAACTAGCAGCCGTGGGATGGCACTTATTGTACTTCTCTTGTTACTTCTATATATGCTTAAAATTTTGCATTACAAAATCTACAAACATCACACGTTATAGAGATTAACATACCACATATTTGCAATCAACCAAATCCAAAATACTGGAAATCTACCGAAAAAATGACCCCAATTTTTCGACAAATAAATAACATAGGGAAAAAAGTGGGTGTTTTAGTGGTTCCGTCTGCTTAACAAAATACCATAGGCTGGGTGGGTGACACATGTCCTCTAACTGGAGGCTGGGCAGTCCCATGGTCTGGGGGCCACTGGGTCGGTTCCTGTGAGGCACCCTCCCTGGTCTGCAGGCAGCCATCTGTTTGCTGTGGCCAGAGAAAGAGGGCTCTGGTCTCCTTTTATGAGGCACTAATCCATCGTGGGGGCGCTGCTGGCATGACTTCATTTAAACTTAACCTCCCAAAGGCTCCACCTTCAATTACAATCACATTGGGGTTTGGCCCTCACATAGGAATTTGGGGGACACAGACATCAGACCGTAGCAGGGAAGACTGTTATAAAGAGACTTGAGAGGCCTATAAGCCAAATGCAGCGTGTGGACCGGGGCCGCGTCGATGAGATAATCAAATTGGGTGTTAGATGATAAAGAATGAATGGTAATTTTCTTTGATATGACAATGCCACTGTGCTTATGCTTTAAAAGTCTTTCTCTGATCACGATATATACTGCATTATTTATGAACAAAATTATATGTCTGGAATTTGCTTGAAAACACTCAGGAAAAACAACAGGAAGAATGACAAAACAAGGTGACAAAATGTTGATTGAAGCTGCAGGATGCATATATGAGTGCTCATACTATTGTTTTATGTGTGTCTAACTATTTCCCTAAGATACCTTTTGAATGCTTAATTGCAAGAAATTTTTGAAAAAGAACAGAAACTTAAGGAGCATTTATCAGCTATTAGAAAATATGCCGAGTGAAAAAAGACTCAGGTTCTTCCCTGTAAAACATAGGTCAAAAGAGGGACCTATTTCAGAAGCTTGCCGTTGATTGTGGGTCGTCACTCACTGTCATTACTCTAGGTTCAGTGTTCCATGTGGCTGAGCCCATGTGGTGTTCAGTGGGGAGCAGGGCTCGCTGCAAAGCAGCAGGACCAGTAGGAGCCGTTTGGGAATAAGTATGTGATGCTGTGAGTATTCTATTTAAGCACCACGTGTGCAGAGACAGCTTTTTGTGCTTTAAGAGGCCTGAAGAGACGAGACGTGCCTCCAACTTGTCACCCCCAGGGCGCAGGCCATGAAGGAACTTGTGCTTTTGTATTTTGGAACATTTGACAAACTCAGCATCTCACCACTTGTGCGCATTCCTTTAAGAAAATGTGGCCAACGTGAGCGGTGCCGTCCCTATGGCATTCTGGCCCGAGGGCTGCACACACAGCTCTGACTCCCCGGCAGCTGGGCAGACCTGCCTTTGCGCTCCTCCCTGCGTGCTGCCTGAGCCTTCAGGCAGCTGTCTCCCCACATGGCTGGCACAAGTGGCTCCTGCCCTTCTTCCCAGAAAGAGGGAGTCTACTGTATGCTTCGGAGTGCTCACGTATGGTTTGGACTGCTTTCAACCTCACCCATTTCTGTTTCTGGAATCACTAATCTAATCCCTGTGCTGTGGCCCAACACAGACGTCTGCTTTACGGCAGAGCTCCTGCAGACTCACTCAATGCCTGGGTGTTTTCTTCCTTCTAGAGAAACCTGATGCAAAGGTAAAGTCGAGCAAGAAGAAAGTTGCCGTTCCACAGATTGTCATCACCAGAGCCTCAGACGAGACTCTTAGCAGCCACAGTTCCATCAGAAGCGAGGAGCAGAGAAACATTGAGGAGCGGGCTGAATGGGGCCCCTACTCCCGACACAGGAACCCCAGTACAGTAGATGCCTATTATTTACAGACCAAAGAATAAACGACCACTCCGAGTAGCTGTCTTGGTTCACTGTGCTCTGAGCCTCAGTCATGAGGGCAAACGGGCGCCCTGCACTGTGGGAAGCTGCAGGTACCCCATCAGGAAACAAGGTCCCCCCAGTGACCAAGTTGGTCTCACCACACCCCAGAGCTGCTGGCAGCTTGGCCGAGAGCAAGAGTGACTCTTAGCTGAATTTGAATGAATAAATTAGGATCCCCCTGTTGGAACTAGCTGGCTGAGCGGACGGCAGGCGGCATCTCGCCGACTCTCAGGGATTCGCCTCCGGAGCAGCGTGCGGTGAGTCCTGGGCGGCTGTAGTGAATGAGATGTCCCCCACTCTTGGAACAAAGGTGGGACTCTGAGGACTACAGTTTCAGGTGTCACGTTCCAGAACAGGGAAGTGCACAGTCACCGCCGAGGGCCCAAAGGCTCCTGGCCTGACCATAACCTGAAACGGTATCAGAGTCCAAAAGGAGAATGGGAGGACAGCCATGGCACTTCCAACTCTGGAAGTGGCCTTGTCAGCGCTGTCGCAGGAAGAGGGGCGTTTAGCTGACAACTTCCCATGTTTCTTGCTGTGAATAAGCATTCCCTATGGTGAAGGGCCATCCAAGGGACCCCCCTCAACTGTCCCACCCTCACCAGCATGCTCAGGTCAGGCTGGAAAGAGTGCCCTGCCCTTGCTGGTCCCACACGTTTAGTCCGGTGACAGTATGTTAGCTCCCTTAGTTCCAGGATGCTCAGCTGGCTTTACACACGGTCTCTATGTCACTATCAGTGAGAATTATATTCTTTTAGTATTAAACAGTATAATTAGTTTCGGTATAACCCAGAAAGAAGAATAAATCTCGTACTGACATTGTATACTAACATATTATTAGCATCATTATATTTATTCAATACATTTATTGATGCATTCTGACAGCCACAACCAAATGTTTATACAGAAAAATCAAGCCCAGGACTGGCTGAGTGGCGCGTTGGTTAAGAGTTGGCTTGGGACGCCAGCTCTGAGCAAGGCCCAGGTCAGATCCCACATGAGGGCCGGTGACGCTGTGCCCTCTACAGCTAAGATGTTGAACAACAGCCCGGCCTGGAGCTGGGCTGCCGTGAGGTGACAGCGTAGGCTGTAGCCCCTGCTGCAGTGGGCTGCCGTGACCTACCGTGAGCAGCCGTCCAATGGCCGGCGAGCGACTGCCTCACCCGGGAAGAGCACAGTGATAATACCAACATGGGCCAGTGAAGCGACGTCCTCTAGACTGAGGAACAAAAGGACAGCAACTTGTCTGTTCCCGGTCCCCGATTCCCCAACGCTGTTCCCTCCTCCCATTCCCCAATAAAATCTTTAAAAAAAAAAAAATCAAGCCCATACAAATGTGGATTTGACCCTACAGGGTCCGCACGCCTACCCTTCACAAAATTTCTAGTAGCCATTACATTTCTATTATTTGACCTAGAAATTGGCCCCCTCCTACTCCTGCCCTGAGCATCTCGAATAATCTAAAAACCGTATTTACCATGGCACATAAGCTTAGCTTATCAATGAATTCAAAAAGGCTACAATGAACTGATGGTCCCCAGATGGGAAGGGGTTGGAGGCAAGAGTAAGGGATTAAGTACAAATTGTCAGTTAAAAAATGGTCACGAGGATGTAAAGTGCAGTACAGGGAATAGTGTCAATCATATTGTTAAAAATGTGGATGGTGCCAGGTGAGTGCTAGGCTTAACCAGGGGATTACTTTGTAAGATGTGTAAATATCTCACCACCATGCTGTACCTGACACTAACTCTTGTATAATATTGAATGTCAACTGTAGTTGAAAAATAAGATTTTAAAAGCTAGAATGAACTGAATATAGTTAGTTTAAATGAAAACAAATTATTCTGAGTCATTAAATTATGATTAAGTTCATAATTATCGAATGCCCCTAACTTATGTTATCATTTTAGCATTTCCGGTCCAGGCCCCTGGGCAGGTCTGTCCTGGCACGCTACGTAAAGCTGCACCCCTCCAACAACACGTCGCGCTCAGCGCCCTAATTTTTCTGCTTGGCACGCATAACTCATGCCCTATATTTTACTGACCTGTTTGCCTGCCTCCAGCTAAAGGTAGGATCCACGAGGGCTGAGCCTCTCAGGACCGAGCACACAGTGGGTGCTCAACACGCATGTGTCAGGTGACTCTTTGATCCCACAGCACGTCTATCGCCACGTGGGGTCAAGTCTTTCTATCCTCGCCTCTAAGCCCGCCCAGTGCTCTGCATCCCCGTCGGCCCTGCCCAAGCCCCTTCTCTCGGTGGCTCCAAGTCGCCCTCTGGTGCTCCAGCGGAGAGCTTTAAAGCGCAGCTCCCGCGGCCCCTCCTCCGGCGGCCGTTACTCAGCGCCCCATCCCGGATAAATGCCGCGTTTCAGATAAAATACGGCTAGAACCTCAGCAGTCGCAGCGGACCGTCGGTGCTGAGGTCCTCCGCGGTCTTCGGTTCCCTCGGTAACCGTTGCCAACAAGGGAACGCCCCGGATGTAGACAACACGCCTGCGCTGAGGCATCCCGCCTGCGCCTGCGCACACTGGAAGCGGCCGCCGCGCTCGGCATGGGGGAGCCGGAGCCTGCTTCGGAGCAGATCCGTCTGAAGTGCATCCGTAAGGAAGGCTTCTTCACGGTGCCTCCGGAACACAGGGTGCGATGAGGGGGTCGCTGGGGTGGTTCCGCAACACACTGGGGTCCTCAGTGTCGCGCTAAAGCGCCGAGGTTTCCGGCACGGGCGGGAACGCCGGTCCCAGAGTTCCTAGCGGCAGGCGCGGAAGTCGGCGGCAGTCGCCGGAGCGAGGGCCGGTGTGTGGGCTTTGCTGTGTCGCGCTCGCCTAAAGGGACGAGCCGGCTCTCGAGCCGCCGGCCCCTGGGGAAGAGCAGGTTTCGGGATCCAACGCGGGCGTCTCCTGGTTTTGCGCACGGGACGGGCTCTGCAGGCTGAGCCGGGAGCACCGTGTGTCGGAGAATTGACCCGTGGGAAGCCTTAGAGGCGTGGTCTCCCACTGGGCTCTGAATGGATCGGGCGGGGCCCCACCGGTGACCCGGCAGCTTCCGTTTACGCCGTGCTCTGTGCGGGCCTCTGCCTGTGTCACTGGCATTGAGTCCTTTCAGAGACCCGCTGCCGCAGGTACCATTGCGGCTCCCTTTGTAGAGATGAGGAAGGTGAAGCTTAGGGACGTTGAGGGACTTAACCAAGGTAGACAGCTCGTGTAGGCACAGGTTTGAACCCTGGCGGCTGGATTGTGTTTTAACTGCTTGGTGGTGCTCTGAAAGGCCAAGTGACGTATCCAGGAAGGATCACTGACTGGCTGGCTGAGTGAGTGCCAGGTGCTCACCCTCACGAGGACAGAGCAAACTGCACAATAGTAGGTGCTTCAAGACAAAACTCAGCATTTCAGAGAAAGAATTGTTTTCACCTCGGGGCCAGGAGGAACTTGTGGCATTTCTGCTGGGCCAGGAAATGTGACTAGGAGTTGGACATGCAGAATGAGGGGGCACGGCATGCCAGCTTTAGGGAGCGGCAGGAGCAAAGTCACTGAGACGACGACGTGAGGGTGAACTAGGTGGGTTTGGGAGGTTGAGGTGAGGTCATGGAAGGGCTTTAGTCCGGGCCGGATGAGTCTGACTTGGTGTCCCAGGTGCTGGGAAGGAATGAGGTGGAGGGGAAGGGTTGGTAAGAGACTAGAGGCAGAGAGGCCAGAGGGGCTGTTAGAATTCGAACCTTGCTACATGTGCTTCTTAGACCCAAGGAGAACTCATTCAGTCTACGAATGCACCACATTATGAAGGTATATTGGGGTACAAGCTCTCTACTAGGATGGAGACCCCAAAATACAGTGCCAGAAGTACAGGACTATTTCTCTCCTGATGTTCCAGAGAGAGGCAGCTATTTTCCATAAGGTGGGCCAGGCTCTCAGATTATCTGTCTTGTTGCTCCACCTGTACCTTATCCAAATCTCAGCCTGCCTGAAGTGGGCAGCAACCAGCTCCCTTCGATCAGGAAGTCATGCTGGTCCCGTCCACTCACATCCCATTGGACAGAATTTAGTCACATAGCTGCAAGGGAAGCTAGAAAGTATGGCCACAGCTGTGTGGCTGCATGCCACTAGGCAGTGTTTCATAACTCGAAGAAGTAACATCTGGATGTTGGGGACAGTTAGTCTCTGCATAGAAACATTTCCGCTGTGTTTGGTAGATACTTCATGAAGATCTTTAAGCTTTTTCTATCTCCAAAGCATAACAGACCAGTGCTGCTCAGTAGACTTTCTGTGATGGTGGAAATGTTCTGTTTTCTGAATCATTCCAGTATGGTTACCATGAGCCACATGGGGCCTTACTTTTTTAGACAGCATACATCCGGACCATGAGATTGCAAGGGGGTGGCTAGGCCATCTTTTGGTACTATATTCAAAGTGCCTGGCCCAGTGTCATCCCCTTTACTCATCTGAAAAGCCCAAGTGTATGAGTGGGCTCCTTGGTTCAAAGTGAAATGTCCCTTTTCAGTCCGTCAGCTGCCAAATCCCCACACTGCCAGCACCTCTCTCTTTCAGCTGGGACGCTGCCGGAGCGTGAAGGAGTTTGAGAAGCTGAACCGCATCGGGGAGGGCACCTATGGCATCGTGTGTGAGTGGCCGAGATGGGAGGCCTGGTGCCTGGGAACATCCCGCAGCAGCTGTGTCAGGGCTGGCAGGAGGCCACCACCCCTGCTCTCTACCAGGGCAAAAGTTGTCGGAGTGAATAATCTGCCCGGGTAACTGAGCATCAGGTGGCTAACGTGTACCCGTGCATGGCCGTGACTTCCAAAAGCAGCCAGAGCCACAGCTGCAGTACGGGTGATTGCGGCCTGCCCCTCCTGCACAGTCTGGAAGCTGCACAAATCAGCACGACCCTTTGGGGAGTGATCTTTGCACAAAATCAGGGCCTTTTTTCTAGATTAAATGCCTTATAAAGAGTTCCCATCAGGACACAAAACAGTGGTCTGCACACTGTAAGAGGGAAACAGGGAGCTTGTTACGACTAAGCCTCCCTATGCCCAGCTCAGATGACGACTCCCCTGGCGCACTTGTCTAGTGGGCCAGGGTATTGGCTTGCAGAGTGAGGACCGAGTATCACAGGGCATGCAGCTGTCAAAGAAGAAGAAAGGGAGCCCCTAGATTTCAGGAAGAGGCCCCTTGTGGCGCACGGACCTGCGAGTGGAGAGTGGGTTTGCAGTCCGTCACAGATGAGTCTCCCATTCCAGACCGGGCCCGGGACACCCAAACGGATGAGATTGTCGCTCTTAAGAAAGTGCGGATGGACAAGGAGAAGGACGGTGAATGGGGCAGGCACCACTGGGCTCAAAGGAGGAGGGGGTTGCCTGAGGAGGGGACTCTCAGAACTGAGTGCATGCTCCCCTGCCCCTGACAGCGTCTGCGTGGTGGTTAAAGGGAGCTGGTCTCGGGGGGGTCCTCCACCACACTGCAGGCCTCAGCTCCCCTGAGCCCTGGGCCGTTCTCCATCTGTCTCCCTCGTGCTGATGGCCTCATATTTTGTCTCAGGGCCTTCCCTGCCAAGGCCTGGCCAGCAGCCCCCATGTGCTCCGCGCACCCCGTTCCCAGAGCACCTCCCTGGTTGCCTCTGTGGGCAGGGCTCTGCCGTGTTCACTGTGGGCCCGTCATACACAGTGGTCACTACAGAGAGCTGCCTTGCATTGGTTGCAGGAAGGGCTAAAGGTGCTTGTTGGGATGGCCTCAATTCTCCGAGGCAACAGGCAGAGCCGACAGTGGTAGCTGGCTGCAGGGGTCTCTGTCAGCAGGGGTGGGCTTGCTGAGGCCATGTCCGGTTGCAGGGGTCCCCGTCAGCAGCCTTCGAGAGATCACGCTGCTCCTGCGCCTTCGCCATCCCAATATCGTGGAGCTGAAGGAGGTGGTCGTAGGGAACCACCTAGAGAGGTGAGCCATGTGCCCTGGGGCCTGCTGAGCCCACGCTGCCCAGCCCTGACCTGGGAGGAGCTGAGAGGTGGCGTGTGTCTTCCCCTTTTTTCTTCTAGCATCTTCCTGGTGATGGGTTACTGTGAGCAAGACCTGGCCAGCCTGCTGGAGAATATGCCAGCACCCTTCTCTGAGGCTCAGGTGGGAGGGTGGGACCTGGGGCGCCTTCACAGGTTCTTGTGCAGCACACTTGCTCTGGACGGCTGGCCCTGACTGTCCGGCCTCTACACAGGTCAAGTGCATTGTGCTACAGGTGCTCCGCGGCCTCCAGTACCTACACCAGAACTTCATCATCCACAGGTGGGCCTGGTCTCGGGGCATGTGTGCTGGTTCATGACATGGGGGCAGGGTGACCCCCAGTACTGACCCCTGGCTCCCAGTGTCCAGGAGCGGGGCAGGAGCAGACAGCCTCAGCACAAGCGGAGGTCCTCTGACTGCTCCTTCGGGAGGGTCCAGGACCAAGTAATAGCTGCTCTGCCCTCGAGGGAGCTGGTGGTGTGAGTGTGGTCAAGGCTCTGAGAAGTCCTCCATTGGAGAGCCTGCCTGGAGTCTCGTGACACATGCTGGGGAAGGCCGAGACTGGCGGGGTGGAGTGGGGGGCCTTCCCATCTCAGAGCAGGACTCTGCAGGCAGTGGCTCCCTGTGCCCTCGGGCAGCTTTATGGCCCTGGGTGGGGAACACAAACAAGGCTGGAAGTGAGAGCTGGGCTTGGGGCCTGGCTCTGCCACTTCCTGTCCGAGAGCTCTGGTGTCCCAGCTGCTGATTGCCTCACACGACCTGCCCTCCTCGACTGTAAGAGTTCAAACAGGAGATGAGTGTCACTGATGGTGACAATCTGGCTACCCCATGGAGCTCACTTCCTGGGACCGCTGACGTTCTTTCCATCACAGGGACCTGAAGGTGTCCAACCTGCTCATGACCGATAAGGGCTGCGTGAAGACAGGTGGGTGTGGGGAGCTGGCTCTGAGGGGGGTCTCTGCGTGTCACTTTGCGGGGTGGGGTACAAAGCTGTCCTAAGCACCCTGAGGCTAAGAGCTGTTCCCATATGGCACCTTGTTAGCCCTCGCAGGGTGACACTCTCCCTCCCGTCTCTGCCTCTGTCACAGCGGATTTCGGCCTGGCCCGGGCCTATGGCATCCCAGTGAAGCCAATGACCCCCAAGGTGGTCACTCTGTGGTGAGTCCCTCTGGACCAGGTGTGCCTGGTGGGCGGGGTTTGGAGTATCTGAAGCTGCGAAAAGGTCTTGGGGGCCTAGGAGGACTGCACACACCAGTAGAGGCTGGTCTAGGGCGGCCTCCCAACGGCAGGGCTGTCATGGGGGAAGGACCACAGCGAGGCCAGTGGCAAGGCCCTGCCTGCAGCAGCTGGACCCCCAGCCGGGCTCGGAGCCGTCTGGGAGGGGAGGTCACTGCACTGACAAGAGCAAGGCCAGTGGTTCGCAGAGCTTTCTGGGTGATCCTCGCTGTGTTTCAAACGGCAGAGCTGGGTGGAGGTTAGGGGAGGACGTTCAAGTCATGCTTTCCGCCACGTGTCACTCAGCCCCATCTATAAAGTCGGCTGACAGGAGACCCGTGCTGAGGACTCGTCTGCCACACATGGGACGCTGCCGCACACGGCAGCTGGCAGCTGGTATGCTGCCTGTTGTCCAGGCCATCTCAGACTCCCGGGAAGGCTGGTGGCCGTGGGTGGGCTGATGCAGATCTGCTGTGCCCTGTGGAGGCCCAGGCTGGAGGAGAGGAAGTGTGAACATGAGGCGGGGTGCTTCTCTCGGCAGGTACCGAGCCCCCGAACTGCTTCTGGGAACCACCACGCAGACCACCAGCATTGACATGTGGTGAGGGAAGCTGCTGTTCCGGGGTCTCGGGAAGGGCAGGTCACGTGGGAGCTGGCAGGGGCAGGCGAGGGCTTGGCGTCTCTGTCAGCCTCCCAGCTCCCAGCTCGGCCTAAGCCTGGGACCCCAAAAGGAGTGTGAGAATGTAGCTTCCGCCTTCACCGTCCCCTGTCCCCTGGCACTGAGGTCCCCCGGTCCCATGGCCAGTGCATTGTGACCTCCCCTGGCCCCAGCACATGGGAGACTGGGGCTGTGCGCGCCCTCAGCTGGTCACGTGGGAGTGTTGCTCACCAGGTGTGTGG